GATGTCCCCTGCGACTATGGTCCCGAGCCCACAGGTCCAACTACTTTCTCCCTCTGGGTATCTGGCTATGACCAAGAAGTGACTACAACCTTGTCCCTTGTCAGTTCTACTGAATACCTGGGAATTCTTACACAACATACCAATACACTTGTAGAAAGAAACACTGTCTGCCAACCCTATACATGATCTTGGGCACACTCCCCCCTGCATAGATATACCTAATACTTCAGCCTGTCCACCCATCTATCCACCGGTATACCCATGTTTGCTGTCACTGACAAGGCAGTACTGAATGTGCAAAAGGGTTCATCTTTGTTGTCTGTACCTCCCATTCATCTCTCTATGTCTTCCTCTTCCTCAGTGCTACCATATTGATCACTCAAATTTGGTACATTCCCCTTCTCTTCACCCAAATCAATACTTGTCTCTACCTATATAACAGTGTTCCCTCCCTTCCCCCTCCCACCCCTGGTAACAAACAAAGAAAATGTCTTTCCATTTATAAACATTTCCTTGACTTTTTACAATAATGGACTAATACAATATTTGTCCTTCTGTGGTTGACTTATTTTACTCAGCATAATGTCCTCCAAGTTCATCCACATTATGCGGTATTTTGCAGATTTTACATTATTCTTTAGGGTTGCATAGTGTTCCATTCTGTCTATGCACCATAGTTTGGTTATCCATTCTTCAGTTGATGGACACAGGTTGTTTCCATCTTCTGCCTATTGTAAATAGTGCTGCAACGAACATGGGTGTGCATATATCTGTTCTTGTCCTGGGTCTCACTTCTTTAGGATATATACCTAGTATGGAATAGGTCAAATGGTATTTCTAATTCCAACTTTTTAAGGAATTGCCATACTGCTTTCCACAGTGGTTGTATCATTTTACAGTCCCACCAGCAGTGTATGAGAGTCCCAATCTCTCTGCATCCTTGCCAGCATTTGTTATTTTCTGTCTTTGAACTTTGCTACTAGTGCCGGGGCAAGATTGTACCTCACTGTTGTTTTGATTTGCATCTCTCTAATGGCTAATGATCATGACCATTTCTTCATATGTTTGGTGGTGACCCAAATATCTGCTTTGGTAAGTGTCTATTTATGCCTTCTGCCCATTTATTAATTGGAGTATTTGTCTTTTTGTTGTTGAGATGTTGGAAGTCCCCTGTCAGATATGTCCTTACCAAATACTTTTTCCCCAATCTGTAGGTTCTTTTTTGACTCTTTTGAAGAAGTCTTTGGAAGCACATAAAAATTTACATCTTAGAGGGGGTGCATTCATCTAGTTGATCTTCTCCTGTTTGTGCATTTTGCATATGCTTCATAGTCTACTTATGCCATAAATTAGGACCCCTAGATTTGCCCCTAGTTTTCCTTGAGGAACTTTATAATTTCCTTACCAATTTGGATGCCTTTGATTTCCCTTTCTTGCCTTATTGCCCTGGCTAGGACTTCCAATACAACATTGAAAAGAAGTGGTGATAGCGGGCATCCTTGTCTGGTTCCTGTTTGCAAGAGGAATGGTTTCAGTCTCTCTCCATTGAGAATGATGTTGGCTGTTGCTTTGCATATATGCCTTTTATTATGTCTGTTCCTTCTATATTTTGCTGAGAGTTTTGATCAGGAATGGGTGTTGGATTTTATCAAATGCCTTTTCTGCATCAATTGACATGATCATGTGGTTCTTCTCCTTTGTTTTATTTATGCGGTGGATGACGTTGATTGTTTTTCTAATGTTGAACCATCCTTGACCTGATGTGAACCCCATTTGGTCATAATG